GGGCCCGTATTCACAAAACATTTTATCTTACCACTAAGAGTTCTCCTAAATAGCAGTAAAAGTTTTTAGCTAAGAGTTTTCTCTTAAAACCTATTCACAAAGCTGCTGAGACAAACTTTTACTAAGGAATAGAGAGAAGTCTTAAGCTAAGAGTAAGGGCGGGGTTGACCTTGTTGCTATGGATGATGTCAGCATACTTACTATGCACACAGTGATTGGCTGATAGTCTCTGTCAGAGATTTATTCATAGAAATATTGTAGAGCGCAATATTATGTTGCCATATTCAAATAAAGGTTTTAAAATAAAAATGTTAATTGCCACATTCAAATAAAGATTTTAAAATGCAGGCTAAGTGTCACTAATTAAACAAGTAGGCTATATATTCAGCTAATTGTCAGCCTCTTATGCTTCTCGTAAACAATTAGTCAATATGCATTAGGGCTGCCCTCGACTAAAGATTTTTCTGGTCGACTAGTAGTCGTTAATTTTTAAGCATTAGTCGACTATTAGTCGCACTTTTATTTATAAACCATATAAATCATAATAATGAGCCTTTAATTGCCTACATAGCCTAATAAGCGCTCAAGCGCACGCAAAAAAAGGCTTGCCACAGCGCACCGGCAAATATAATAATTATGAATGTGTTAGGGAAAAACAGCAAGTACACTGCATTAATGTTTTAATAATTTATTGTTACACTAGTGCTTTCCATTTTCGGTTTAAGAGATGAAGTCGGCGACACTGACTCGTAATCTCCGCAGTATGCGCCTGTATTCATGTTTCATACAGATTACATAATCTGAGAATATTTGTTTTCTATTTGAACTTTTTTAATTTAAAAGTTTCACTCTCTATAGATATATTTTTCATGTCTGTAATAAGGCAAGCATACACGGAGTTTCGAAGTGACGCGCTTCAGATGATAAGCCATATTTGAGGTAGATGAATGTTAGGTGAGCATATGGATGTCCTGCCCGATGTACTATATTACCACATAGACCAGCCGTTAACGATTTGTCCGTCACGGACTGCGTGATTTCGCCACTTCGTGTGGATTTTTTTTTTCTGCGACTAAGCGACTAATTAAATTTTGGTCGACCAAGCCTCTTCTCGTCGACTAACGGTTAGTCGACTATTAGGGGACAGCTCTAATATAATTTCATATAGACTTTATACAGCAGTTCAATAAACAAGAAGTTAATATTAAGACATTTACGTTAGACACACTATTAACTGTTTTTGCTCTATTTCGCCAACAAATATAATTCCAATTTGCGTCTCTGAGCAACATAACGTTGAAATGATAAATTTAAATGATTCAGTTCAATCGCAATGACTCACTTATTAACAGTGACTTCCTGCCACTTTCATTTGCTTGGTAACAGCCCAAATGACTTATTATTCTAATTGACTGATTCAAGTAAAAAATTTGACTGAAAAAATGATGCACACTTTTAGAAAAAATAGCTTTATAAAGGTAAAAATGCCCATTAAAGGTAATAATTAGGGATGCACCGATACCGATACTGGTATCGGTATCGGGCCCGATACTGAGCTCCTGTACTCGTACT